TTCTTGGCAAAAGGGTGGCATTGTTCCATTTCCTCGAGAGACGTAACATCTTCTTCAACACCCCCCAAAGCCGAGAAGCCCGCTCGTTTTGCAGGCATCGGGCCTTCGCGCTCAGCAGCAACGAAGATAGTGTGGGTAAAAGAGATAGTGTTGGCGAGGTGCACAATAGAGGCTGTCAGCACAGAGTATAGCACAAACGAGGGCGTCCTTTGTAGTGTGTCTAGTGTGTCGTACGACTTTACTAGAGTGCCAATTGCCCTCTGCCGCCTCGGCACAGATATTCCGCGGCAATAACACAGCCCCAGGAATTTCAAGGTCCCTGAAATGCCAGAATAGTAATATAATAGTGAAATGATGATACAATCCATCAGAGTTAGTAGAGCATGGAGGCCTGGCTGGAGGGACTTGCTGGCATACTGAACGAAGAGCACGTATGGGGTGAAATTCTGGCCGAGCTGCAAAGTCTCTAGTAGGTTATCGTACGAGACTAAATACTTTGTGTACAGCCGTAGCACAGTCTGAGCCTCGGCTGTTAAAGATGCCGCAGGTCTGTGTACAAGATACAAGCATTCGTGAGTGAGTTCGCTTAGTTGACAAAACAACATAGATACTGATGGCTCATCCGATGCTTGCTCGCACGGCAGTGTCAAGAGTACCCCTATCGCCACAGTGATCAATTGACCTCTTCATTCTCCAAGTTGGAAACGAAGAACTCAAAGTTATCTATAAATGGAATCCATGGGAGCTGCTCTGTTGCTTCTAGGATAGGAGGCTTAGGTGGCAGGGATGGCATATACGACGTCGTCGGCAACGAGCCAGCAAAGGGCAGAGCACTAGAGAGGGTTGTTAGTATCCCATCATATTGTAACTCTTGGATTATACGATGTTTGGCATGTTTGGCCAAATTGTCCAGTGTGAAAGCCGCCAAAAAGTAGCCAGTCCAACGACACGATGCTCCTGGTCCTCGTCCTTCTGTGAGTCGTCATCATTGTCCCGATGAAGGCCCGTTTCTATAGCCAACCGCATACATTGGCCGGAATAATACGCGCTCATGGAGATTCGACTGCAACTCGCTTCTCGAACGGACATTATTCTCAATTTCTTGACTGTGGTTACTGAACCAAGATCTGCCTCGGAAAGGCATAGTCATTGACACTCTCTGAAGAAGTGTTCACCCAAGGTAACACAATCGCTAGAATCTCCCCCGATCGCGTGCTGATTAGAAAGGCGGCGGCCCAACGAAAGCAAGGCGTTTGTGAGCAATGAAGAGCAGTACCTTCTTCTCCCGTCATGGAAATCTCTGAGATAGTGCTCCTTGCTCAGCGATGCAAATGTGGGATATTCCCAACAAAGGTACAATGCTAGCAAATGCTGTATCAGATCGGTATCGCGGGTAACCATCGCCCATGACCCGGCAAATTCGGTCGTTGGCCCCCCCAACGGCCACAAGACAGAATTGCGTTCGCGGGACGACTGCCCGCCTTGAGCGGTAGTCTGAAGCATCACATTCGGCGTCGACTTTACGTCTGCAGGGCTTGACACTGCTGCCGCATGTCCCCCCCAGTCGCGTGATTCAACATTCCTCGAATGGTAATCGTGGACCTCATTTTGCGAGTCAAATGGCTGACTTCCTTGGAGCCCCAGCCTGCCCAGCTGGTTGTCCACGTTGCTGCTGTTGTTTATCACCTCGTATATAGTTTCGACAGAATCTCCGGCCCATAGGCGTCTTAATATATTGTTGGAAAGTTCTGGTTGGGCCAATGCAGAAATTACACGACTACTTGTGTCCAGGCGCTGGTGCAACTGCTCAATTTTCGTTCGGAGTTCGTCTTTTGACTGCCGTAATGGGGTCTCGTATATACACTCAATGGCAGAAGATTTGCAGCGACTGCATGAATTTTGTCCATCGAATAGTGGTTGGTTTGCTAGCCAAGGTTTTACTTTTTCACAAATTAGTCGAGGGTCGATCTTTATGGTAAAGCTTATCAGCTTACATTTGCCCACTTCATTCGGCATTCTGTACAAGCGTTGGGTGTCATGATGCCACGACCACGCCTGCGCCTAGGGCTCTCCAATTGGCTTCCAGGCGTGTTTCTGGTGGACTTGTCGTGGCTGCTTCTAGCACCTGTTGTGAGAGACTCGGTGCCATCTTCCGTAGAGTAGCCAGAATATTATGGGTAGTTTTGATACCGAGGGGTTATTCTTGAGCCGAGTTGTTCTAAATTGACAATGCCGTGGTGTATTTTGAGAATACACTTGCCACCAACAGAGGAGTTTTGGAGACAGCTGACCTCTTGTGGATGTGGCTAGTTTTGCTATAATCTCATCAGGACGGGCGAGCCACGGTAATCCTCGGCTGTGGCAATATGAATTGCGGGCCAAGAGTATTAGACCCGTGACCGAATCTAATATCTAATTCTAAATTCTACTGTCTATTACTAGAAATTCAACCTAGACACAGCAATCGCGTCGTGTGCTGGTGCTACTACATCCAGCAGCTGTGTCTTGTCGTGTGATCAAGAGCGCAGAAGAAAGAGATATCAACAAGTTTGAAGTACTATCTTTTAGCTTCAACCACTTGCCACAGCCTCGGTAGTAATTCAAATGAAACCGATAGATTGACATGGTCCGCTGAGCCCAGGCTGACTGGCTGCAAAGTGCCGACCAACTCCTTCGGTTGGTTGGCAATGCCAACTTCTCGGTCTACAACTCCGTCGCCAACAGTGAACCAGATGCAGTCATCTTGCGGGCCACGCATGACTGGTGGCATCACGACCCGCTGCAGATTTTCTGCTGTTGCCACGGTGCAGACGCGGTAACGGCCTGGCTCGTGGAGGCCGTCGTCAACTTCAACACTAAGTCTGTTCATGGTCTTCATGGCTCCGCCACCGGTGTAAACCACGTTGTTACCCCGGCCAGGGACTCTCGCGGAATAGACAACGCTGCCATCGCCTAGAAGTGCACCGCTGCCTCCAGCGGCCTTTTGAATCACAACATACACGTGCCCCCTGACTTGACCAGTCGCCGGGTCTAAACGCTGTGGGCCGGCGTATGGTATGATATTATCCACTAGAAATAGGTTCGCGATGGTTAGGTCAACACTGAAGGCTGTGTTGGTGTCAAAATTCTGTTCTGTCTCCGGGTGATGAATGAGAGTAGAGACCATCTGGTCCACTTCAGGAACCTGATCTGTAACTGCATAGACGGTTAGAACCTAATCTTGGTCTTGCAAAGGAACATGTCTCGAGAAAACCACGTACTTGCGTCGTCCCAAGAGCTTTCATCAACTTGTCCGTCATTGTTTGGACTGCGGCACTGGTCGTCTACATTGACGTGGCCAGACAAGACCTCTTGCGCGGTGCTCTTTGTGCCTGGCGATGATGGTGGAACGGGTGATGACTTGCCAATAATGCTTGGCGAAAGCTTTGAATCTTGTTCTTGTTTAAAGGCATCCCCTATGGCAGGTAGGCTCACGAGGGACAAAAGAATAGTGCTTATATACATGTTTTTGATGGGTGAGTCAATAATGTTCAAGAGAAAGCCAAGCAAAGGATCGACAGTGTTTCTTGTCCCAGCAAACCGGCTATCATAGTGAAGCAAAGTTGACAGATTAAACGATTACAGGAAGAAAAACTTTCGAATAAGAGGCGGAAGTGGGAATAATCTTATGTGCAAGCGGTGTTTGGGATGAGATGATTGTGTTGCTAGTCATGTCTGGTTCAATTCCGAGACTGCATTCGTGCATAACACTCGATATAATGTCGATTTTGTGTAGGTTTCAGATTGATTCGAAACCTCCCCTGCATCAAGGAAAAGGGAGCATTGCCTTCAATATTGTAAGAAGGGGGAAATCTGATACTAACGGATTCAGGTGCGTTCGTCGGAATTGTTCGATTGGCCACGCTTCCTGTGGGTGGGGCAGACGAAGCGTTGTAACGTCCGTCACGAGATGCATGTACATTGGCTAGCGAGTGCGGACTAGTGGGAACCATAGACTATATTTGTCCCAAGATGATCAATGATGTCAACATCCGAGTCAGAGTGCATCACTAGCCTTGTCTTGGCAGGTCGCGGAACCTAAAAAGGGAAGTAAAAGTCGCTCTTCCGACACGACGGCCTTTATGCGGCATCCTGAATCTCGCCGACGCCTGGCGTGATTCATGCCATTATGCTTTACCTGCGCGACGGCATAGGCCGCTCCTCTTGAAAATATCGATGCGATGCCATATTCACCAACACATGGCGGTTGAGAAACCGGGGCAGAAGTGTTGGCCTCATGCTGGTCTTTTATCAAACAAAGTGATTGCCTGATTGTCCTGATCGCCCGCTGTATACCGAAACTCATTGGACGATCGGCGCCATGGCTGCTTACAATGAAACAGCCTTGCGGGAGACGCACACGATACCGACGACGACGCCATTGAAACAAGGCAAGGGCGGACTCTACTTTTCTAAAACACTCACCCATGTCCGAACTTATTTCCATTAGACTGGAACCGAGTAATGCAACCGAATAGTACAGCTGACGGTACGGTCGGAAACGACATTTCGGAACCTCTGGTGGGATAATTGGCGCCTCCTGCCCTCGGCCGAGCTATGAATACACGCACTTGACTCTACATGCTCAACGTTTTGAGACGCATCAAGACGGTAGTGCTTCTCTCTGGAGCTCAAGCTACTTCTCCCCCCCCTCCCTCCACCCCCATCCTCGTTCATCTGTTCTGTTCTCTTCATCTTTTCTCGTACGTGTGCCTTTCCGGTTACATTTATCGTACGATCGAAATCATTCCTCTCATTTCTTTTCTTGATGTCTTAGCACCGGTGTCTGCGACACAGGCTCCAAGTCAAACAAACACTTTTAATTATAGTAGTCTTGTTTTTATCCGGGCCGGACCCGATTCCATCACTCACAACAACAATAACGTCCTCCGATGCCAAGCAAGTACTGAAATCTTGACTAGCAGAGACCCTCTCTTCAAAACACAACTTGGAAGCGCGTCATGTACATTGCAGGTCTTCTTGTCGCCCTGGTGGGCTTCACTGGCGCCATCCAGGCTGCTGATGATTTGGCTTTTCGCCCTCGGGTTTCCCGCCACTTGAGCCGGCGACAGTTCCAGCAACGTCCCGGGGGAAACCAAGGGGCCGTAAAGCCACCGGCTACTATTGTTGTTCCCCCACAGAACGGCGGTAACAAGGGCCAGAACGGCGGTAACAAGGGCCAGAACGGTGGCAACAAGGGCCAGATTGGTGGTGGCAATGGCCAAGAACAGCAGAGTCTCACCTTGTCTCGAAACAGCTTGCAGCGTACTCCCAATGGTCTACAAAATGCCGATGCCGGAACGGACGAGGCCCTGCAGTAAGGAAGAGCGCTTTTCTTTTCGTCTTTTTATGAACCCAGACGGCGGCTAACCAAGAGATAGGAGCCAGAATAACTTTATCAATTTCTGCTCAGGGAAGCCGTTATGCAATGGCGAACAGGTCAAGGCGGGACAATCCTGCTGCAACCCCATCAGTATGTATGACCAAGATGAAGACCGTGTTGCCACCATCTAAACTTGTTTGACAGTCATGGGCGAGGTCCCAGCACCGGAGAAAATGGCCACTGTTGTATTCAGCCAACCGAGATTATGCGGCAACATTTCTCCCAAAGACGGCATGAAGATTAGTGCGGTATACCGGAATATAAACCTGGGAACCTTCACAAACCCCGAGAACACATACAACGGCAATCCGCAGCGGCTCGATGGGAATGGCGTCGTGATTGGCCACTCGCATGTCACTTGCCATCTCATGGAAAACGACGAACTGCAAGGTGCAGCTCCGATCGCGGCGGCCGCCTATCTCCAAGACCGGGAGCGAGCCAAGTCAAACAATAACCGAGCACCCCAGAAGACGTGTTTCAAGGGCTTCAACGGCGAGGGGCGAAAAGCCAACGGCGGACTCACCCGCATCGACCTGGACCTGGAATGCGGCACGAATCTTGCGCAGGGCTGCTGGACTTGCAGCACCATGACGGGCGCCAGCACACACCAGGCCGCCATCATGGGCAACGCTGATCGTCCTGCGCAAGATGCGTCTACGTTCTTTAGTGTCAGCAATGATCCCAACGCTGACCTATGTGGTTGCGGAAGAGGAAACGGCGGCAATAACGGCGGCGGTAACAACAACGGCGGTAACAACAACGGAGGTAACAACAACGGCGGTAATAATAACGGTGGTAATAATAACGGTGGTATCAACGGCGGTACCAATGGCGGTATCAACGGCGGTATCAACGGTGGTATCAATGGTGGTATCAATGGTGGTAACAACAACGGTGGCAGCAACAACGGTGTTGATAAAAACGGTGTTAATAAAAACGGTGCTAACAAAAACGATGGTATTAAAGGCGGTATTAATGGTGGTACCAACGGTGGTATCAATAGTGGTAACAACAAAGGTGGCAGCAACAACGGTGTTGATAAAAATGGTGCTGACAAAAACGGCGCTAACAAAAACGATGGTATTAAAGGCGGTATCAATGGTGGTACCAATGGCGGTGTCAACAACAATGGTGGTATCGACGGCGGTATCAATACTGGTAGCAACAGTGGCAACAACAATGGTGGTATCAATGGTGGTGTCAGTGGTGGTATCAGTGGTGATATTAATGGTGCTATTAACGGCGGTACCAGCGGCGGTATCAATAATGGTATTAGTGGTGATATTAATAATGGTATCAACGGTGGTAGCAAGGGTGATAAAAAGGGTGGTAACAAAAACAATCTCAACAGCAACGGTGGTATCGGAGGTGATATCAATGGCGGTAGCAAGGGAGATATCAATGGCGGTAGCAAGGGTGATAAAAAGGGTGGTAACAAAAACGATCTCAACAATAACGGTGGTATCGGAGGTGATATCAATGGCGGTAGCAAGGGTGATATCAATGGTGGTAGCAAGAGTGATATCAATGGTGGTAACAAAAACGATCTCAACAACAACGGCGGTATCAACGGCGGTATCAACGGCGGTAGCAACAGTGGCAACAAAAACGGTGGTATCAGTGGTGGTATCAGTAATGGTATCAGTGGTGATATTAATAGTGGTATCGATAATGGTATCAACGGCGGTTCCAGCGGCGGTATCAATAGTGGTGGCGACCGCGGAAGCAACAACAAGGGTGGTATCAATAGTGGTTTCAACGGCGGTATCAACGGTGGTAGCAACCGGGGAACAAGATAGACAGACAAAGTGCCAGACAATTGAAAACATGAAGCCTAATTACATCAAGTAACAAAATCTGAGGAACAAACGACTACGTCAAGAGTGCCATGCAGTTTTGCCATAGTCAAGTTGCCAAAGCAAGGGACTTGACGGCTGGGTGATAGTATCAATTAGTTCTGTAACCAATTGCATGTTACAGGCAAAGAGTGACAGAAATCTCAACTTGCAAAGCATTCCATTCGGGGGTACCTGAATCCAAAGAAAAGCCGCTCATGAAATGCTTCAGATGAATTCCCAGCTTGGGCAAGGGTGGCATTTGTCTACGAGAAGGCAGAGTGGTGATACAGGTGGACCTAATGCCACTCGCTCTTGGAGGATTGATAACGACATATAAGTAAAGCTATTTTCCGTGTAACACATAGACTCGACCATGAACTCATGTGTATTGATGGTATTGGATGATGCGCAATCAGCCCAACTGGGCCACAACGCGATGAGATGATGCCTGCCGTGCACTATTGCATTCCATGCCACCGGCAGCGGCCTGCCATTCTGATTTACATATGATGTCATTCAACTCTTGCTAAGGATTAGACAACGTCAGTATATTGGCCTCTTGGCAAAGAAAAGGCAGCTGGCATGAGACAGCTTACAGCCTAGTCCATGACGACCATGGTACGTCATTGTACTTCACAGCCAACAATATATATGTAGGCTGGATAAATAGTTGATATGCTTGCCGGGCGAAAGAGAAGAAATAAGTCAACAAAGGAGAAAAAAAGACAAGACGTCTGTTTTTTCAAGACCTCCGACTCACAGGCGAAGTGCAGTTACTCTAGCCACATATCTATCGACATATTTCCAAGGAAGGAATGGAGTTAACGCCAATGACGAACGAGGCCTCTGGTCATCCCAAATTCAATAAAGAAACAGTTCTTTTGGAAGCAGCATCAATTACTCAGGTAGCCATCCATTCCGCAGTTACCCGAATAAGGATGACTTTGACGCAAAGACTTCAAGCCGCTTAGAAATATCTGTGCTCGCCTGAATGCCTTCCACCCCCCATGTGATGTCAATATTGACCACTAGAGCTTTTAGACAGCGTACCGGCATAGAGTACATGATCACACCGCGTCTCTTTGCGTCTTTGTCACCCGATGAGCGTTGCCTGTGGCACTCGCACGTTTACGAAGTCAAGTCGGGCATACTAGTGATGCCCAATCGCCTAGGGCCACAGACGCTGCGGGATACGGCAGAAAACAAGGAGATGGAGGGGATTATTACGTTATGTGGGAAAACATATCATCTCTGGCAAACGGATAGGGGGGATAATTTGCCACTTGGGGAACCAAAGTTGATGATTAGTTTTACACGGGATGGGTAGCTGGACTTTACCAAGGTGGAAGAGAGAGATGGAAGGATCGGAAGAAGAAGGACAAGAGAGGGGAAATTCCTACCCCCGATATATATGAAGGCAAGTTAGCAGCCATGGAACTTGAGGAGCTGGTACAATATTGTTGCTAACTAGCAGGTGGCAGATGCGGATTCCTCATGGTCCAAGTCATAACTGCTCATGGCAACTAGTTATCGAAAACCAAGCGCGAAGAAGGATGGCCAATTATTTATGTATACTTTCACAGATACACTTTTCATTCAATTTAGTAAATATGACGCTTTACATTTCTTCATATATCTACTGACATCATTTATGAATTGACTAAACAACTTGTAACCCGTCAGCTGAAACGTAATATTAAACAATCTTAGTCAAAGAACCATCTCTTAGCCTTGACAAGACAACGACGATGCGTGAATGTACTTGAAAAGCCCGCCCCCGCCGGAACCGGGCTTCGATAGCCGGAAGTCTCATAATTCAGGCATCTAAAGTCAAACCGCCGTTTTTATACGGTGTGGTGTTATTGGAAACGTTAACCAGGGACTCTCCAAGAAGACGGATCGTTCCCACACCACCCAAGCTCAACGGTTGAACCAGCCCCCTCTTGTTCTTTGTGCAGCACCTACATGCAGTAGTATATGCGAGGCACCCTGGCACTGCTTCCTACCCGCTGTTTTCCAGGACGAGGGCTGCCTCGAATCGTAAAGAGCAATTCGACTCGCTCGCTAGTTTCCGAGATAGTTACTTCGGGGGTTATGCTTCCGCTGAGACTAGTCTCATGGCTGTCCTTCTTTTTCTTTTCGAGACGTTTCGAGACGATAATCCGCTTCATTCTTGATTCCCCCCGTGGCAGTATCGTAGCCAGAATTCTCGGCTGGTACAGCGGCATGGCGGTTCCAAGCCAGAGAGGGGAAGGCAAGTGTGAGCATCACCTGTTTCACATGAAAGCGGCAGCCACTTGACAAATCGGGAGCCTTGCACCTTGTATTACCGCTCGAGGCCGTGCGACCGAAACAATTCGAAAAGAGCGCCATGCAAGTCGAAGATCCACGTCCAAAGCGGATAGCGCAGCCAGCCACAGTTTTGAAACCTTGGGCGTGATGGCAGGTCCATCCCAGAAGTAAACGATTTCCTCACCGTCTTAAAGTTCACTTCTAGACAAGTAAGAAAGTTCCATCTTGGGCTTCCCATCCAGACGAGCGCTGTAGCCCAGTCGGAAATTACTTGGGTACTAAGTCGCTTGGTGCGTATTGTCGATATATGCGTTGTTTGGGAGCACAACGCTTGTTTCTGAAGCACCGACCTGCAGATGCCCAGCATCCATTGCTCCATTGAGCATTTGATCGTCGTCCCGTGTGCAATCTAATGAATAGCGATGTTGCCGCTCCGGCCAGGGGGCCGACTCGTGGCTTAGATGTCGCAATGGGGTTGGACGAGAATGAACCCCTCTAGCAATTCATCACGATACCATCACTGGGCTACCGAAAGAAGCAGGGTCTTGACGTTGGCCAGCTAGCGACCTGGGCCCATGGTGATTGATAATTCGCAGACCAGCCATGTAACCTGCAAAACATGTTTGCACCTCTGCAGGCTACGTGTCAAAACGGCCAGATCATCCAATGTTTACGGGGTAATGGTTGGTTCTACGACATTGTACCGTCCTGTCTCAGATTGCTCTGAGACATGGCTGTCCGAGGTGAGCTGGACACAAGTATGCAGTATAACTACTCCGCAGTACGGAGTACATTGCAAGCACCATGCATGGAGATGGATGCAGTTGCGAAGCATGTGTGACAGCTTTATCACAACAAGTCTTGGGAAGTTGGTTTGCCAATGAGAATTCACACCTCCTTCAGACAAGAGCTGTATACTACCTTGTACGTAGTATTCTATTGACAAGTCACCGAAAATGACCAAACACCTGCTTCATCCCTCGACACCAAATACTCTGCGCATACGCTCCGTGTCACTCCTCAGCCGGCACCTGCTAGACCGTCCATGCTCCCCAATAGCTCTAGGTAGAGCATGCAAAAAGCAAGTGTGCTTTTCATGAGAGGGGTCAAGTTGCTAAAAGGTGAAAGGCCGGCAGCAAACGTGTATAAATACTCTTCGCTTCCTCGCTCACAACGAAGCGACACTTGAACTTCAACCTATTTTCCACCCGCACGTCTTTACTCTCAAGTCTTCATCTTTCCCCAGCTTTACCTAGACAAATATCATCATCACTCTTTGCTTCACGTCATGTCCGGCTATACCCTTCGCCGTCGTGCAGAGTGGACGCCTCACAGCGGCATCATCCTGGGCTGGCCGGGCTTGGAGGGAATACTCAAGGACCACCCCGAGTTTCTGGCCCGAGCAACACAGGAGGTGTCCAATATCGCCCAGGCCGTCGCCCACTTCGAGCCCGTCACCCTCGTGGTGGGCGCCGAGCGTGTCGAAGAGGCAGAGGTGTACTTTAACGAGATTGTGACCCCCTTCTCGATTAAGCTGCACCACATTCAAGGCGATAGCATGGATATCTGGATGAGGGACATCGCGCCCGTCTTTGTCATCAAGGAGAATCCCGGAGAGGGCACCCTCGCGGGTCTCGACTACAACTTCAACGGCTGGGGTGGCAAATACCCTACGCCGACTACCCGCGAACTGGCTCGCATTATCCTCCGGGACCTGGGAATCGAACGCATCGAGACGTCAATCGTCACAGAGGGCGGCGCCCTAGAGACCGATGGCGAAGGGACCCTGATACTAACAGAGAGTTCGATTGTGAATGATAATAGAAACCCCGGCAAGAGTCGCCAAGATATCGAGGAGGAGCTCAGACGTACTCTTGGCGTTGAAAAGATCATCTGGATCCCTGGTAGAGACGGGCTCGACTCAACTGACTGCCACATCGACGCCCTTGCCCGCTTCGCCCGCCCGGGTGTCATCCTCTTGAGCAGGGCCAACGAGGTCGAGCCGACCGACTGGACAGTCGTCTACGAGGAAGCCCGTAGTATCCTTAGCACTGCTAGCGACGCCAAGGGCCGTCCGTTTGAGATTATCGAGGTGGAGGAGCCCGACGAGGATCTCTTTGAGCCCCCTCCCAAGGGCATCAAGGGCGTCAAGGGCATCGACGATGACCGTGCTGTGCGCAGCTACGTCAATTACTTATTGGTGAATGGGGGCATCATTCTACCTCAGTTTGGCGACCCGGCACATGATGCCGCGGCCATCAGGGTTGCGCAAACCGTTTTTGGCGACGAAAGGAAAATCTACCCCGTTCTCATTGAGCAGCTGCCTGTGTTGGGTGGCGGTGTTCACTGCGCTACGCAAGAAATCCCAGAATTGCCTTGAATTGGAGGTATCTTGCAGTGCTCCTTTTTTTGTCGTCTGCCGTCTGGTTCGATTTCAAGATAGCTGAGATAGCACCTTGGTACGCAGCGCGCCTCAAATTGACTCCTGCTGTTGCAGACCAAAGTTCAATCGTGGGATGTGGCCTTGGAGCCTCTAATCACTTCCTCGTAAAGTATCATGCCACGCTGACTGGGAAATACCATCCTGTATCGCTTTGGTCCAGGTAGGCGAGATTACACACGAGTGCGTGTTTTCTCGGTATTATCGTATCTTTGCCATGTTTACCGCGGTTCATGCAGCATGGGTTTCATGACTACAGACCATACTTTTCTTGTTGCTCTAAACACATCCGCAGTAGCTCTCATCGGACGATTCTAGTGTCGTACATCCCAAGTGGCGTCAAGTATTATTGACATTCTGGACGGCGATCAGTGCACAATAACTTGGAACATACCGATTCGGAAGATTGGTCAACTTGGCAGCACCAGAGGAGACTTTGCCGTTGTCGCCGCCCACTTCGGGCAACTGAGGTTAGGAATACCTGGCGAAAGGGAAAAGTAGACCGCTCCTCGCCGGGGTGGTTAGGAGAGGGGAAGAAATTGATGCGGCTGCAGGAATACTCCCAGGAGATATCTGGCAAGATGTAGACTTGTATAAGGGGCTAGAAAGTCATGGAAAGCCTCAAGGATGGCCAGTATCGAGAAACTGCGCGCTCGCCAACCGCTCCTGGAGATCCCAGAAGAGGCAGTGATAATCCCATCCCGACCCTAGCTGAGCCTCCAAAACTCCGTCACCGAATTTTCAGCCCCGGAGACGACCATTGCGCAGTCCTCTCAATCCTAGAACACCAGTACCGCATCGTCAAGCGAGTGTGGCCAGATAGCTGACCACGATAACACGGGTGAAGCAATTCCGCAGAGCGATGACGAATTATACACCAGACACTTGACGCTGTAGTATGTATGTCGGGTTGCAACAGCCCAGTCTCGGTCAACAGCGGGGACTTTTGTCTGTTCCGCCCGTAGAGAACGAAGACACTTTTGAGTGGTGAGCACCATGATATATCACGCACCAGCCACAAAGATTGCTGCCCGAGAAGACGTGTCGCCAACATGCTGGTTCAAGACCTGCATACCCCGTTGTCACCTCGGTCTGTACTCTGTTCTTCAACGTTGTACGTCTCTCCGCTCATCATTTTGCACTTGCTGTAGCTGCATGTTTCACTCCAGCGACGCCTCTTTTGCCCATCTAGTCGTTACTAAAGATGGCTCTTTGGTCTTTGGTCTCGTAGAGTTGAAGCTCAGCCAGCCATTACCAGGGGCAGTCCATGGCAACGAGTACAACTGCCGTATTAGAACAAATATCTCACCAGAGTCGGATAGCCAGGCATCTGCCCGCGGTGCATGTATCACATCTAAACGTGGGCTCAGTGACGCCCAAAACGGCGTCTCGGTCAACGCAACACATTGTATCAAGATGTAGCTACCATGGATTCTTGTATGGGTAAAAGATGGCTGCAGATTCTGTCTGCGGCCGGAAGAACAAGGGTAATAATGATTTTATAACGCAGCCTAGTCAACAATAAGTCTCGTAACGTGACAAATGCATGGCTTAGCTGCCCGAGATCAGACAAGGGACCAGCCCAACTTGCAAGGATATGTAGCGATGAGGTTCCTATGTGGCGTGACGTACATGCCCTTTACGGCGCAAATGCTTCCTTTTTCTGTCCAGCTGCAGGCAATGTGTGCCAGTGGCTACCTGATTCAAGAATTTCAAAAAATGTCAATCCGCGAGGGCCTTCCCTCCCGCGGTGTAGCCTCTCTTGGTGCATCATACTGGATGCTACGTTGGAAAGGTCTTGAGACCCGATGTTGTATTGCTGCCACCAGCACACGGCTCACAGTCGGATGCTTCTGGAGCTTGATGCACATCAGGTTCAGAAAACTTGTTGCGTCTAATAATGCTGTCCTCCTCTCCGGCTGGGCTATATAAGTATCCTCAGCATCCGTACTCCACGGCTAGGCTGCGTCCATGTTCCGATTCCGAGCTTCAATTACCAACCTAGTTTCCCAAATTCACATCAAACTACATACCAAGCATCCAAAACTACCAAAATGGCTACATATACCATCAGTGTCATTAACGAGTCAGCTCTGAAACAACGCTTTGTGCTCTACCAGGCATCCCCTTTTGGCGACAATGTCGACGGTTTCGGCAATGTCTGGATGCAACTCACGGTGAATGAAGGCGGCGACACACAGACCGTGAAAATCACAGCAGAGTACTTCGCATGTAGGTACTTTGACTCTACATACTTCACGTTTGACCAGACTCTTGAAGCTAAAAATCTAGGGGCCGGTTCAACTGAAACACCACTACAAAGCGGAGTAGTCGTCTCGGGAGGCAAATCGCTACCTGCCACGCTGGGCAAGGATGGGCAAACCGGCAGCAAGTATCCCTCGTCTTGACATCCTCATCCCCCATGGATCCAATGCTGATGATGAGCACTGCAAAGGCACCTTCCACACGGCAGTCAGTGAGCTCATCCGCCAGTTCAATGTGAATATCCAAGAGATCGACTCCTCTGCCCCAGCAGGCGCCTACACAATCCACACCCGTGATGATTTCGACGTTGGCGACACCAGAGTCCTCATTGGACTTGGCAAGAAGGATCAGCACAACAGATCAATTCCTGTGGCTTCGGTATGGAAAATCATTCTGTGAATTTCTCTCGTCCATCCGCTAATGTGTGTCAATGTGGTTTAGCTCAACCCCCTCCCCAACACAAGATACAACATGACACCCATTCTCAAAGGAGTGATTTCTGTAGACACCTCCTCGCAGATTGGTGAAGCTCTTTCGTACCGGGCAATTTCTGACTTGCCGGGCGTCATTGACTTCTCCAGCGGCAAGGGACAGGGAAAGTTCACTGCTGTTGTGATATTCACCCCTAAGGGAAAGTTCGAGGTCGACTATGTCTAAAGCGTTCCTCGAGGGAGTTGCGAGTTGAAGGATCCTGAAATTCTGCTTCTGGTTTGCAGATGTCCCAGCGGGGAGTGGTTATCGGCAAAGAATTTTGTCACAGAGTGTTTGAATCCGAGCTCTCAGCCTGGTCACCTGTTTAAAGCCACTTGGCGATATCCAGATGAAATAAAATCGTTGGAACAAAAATAGCTGCCTCATGGACATGTACATTGCCTACCGTCTAGAGCATCTCCTTCAAGAAGCTGGATTTAAAGTCATATCCAAGACATCCAGCTGTAGCACATTGTATTGAGCAAATTGTACTACAAGGGTGGTTTGAAAACTACGAATTAACAGGCATGACACACCAGAGCCCGTCTAGTTGGTATGCCGGCAACTCAATCATCGCCATGTCATGTCCCGAGTCTATCTGTAAACGCCCACTCCCGAATTTGCTACGCCACCAGACAGGGTCCTGTCGATAATACACCCGACAATGGGCCCCCATGTCCCGAAAGACGGCCAAACCATGTACCTATTTTCGGACATGTAATGTAACGCAAAAGACATCCAAGAATTTGTAGACGCCAGCAAGGCGAGTGGCACAAAGAGTTCTAGTTGGTCTACAGAGGCGATGGGCTGTGCCTGTCTTAAAATAAAGGAAATATCGGACGGTAATTCGGCTGGCAAGGTTCTGAGGAGTGAGGTGAGGGCTTATGGCGGCACAAAAAGACAGGGAAATATTGCCTGTTGGTTTAAAGTATTTTGCTAATCGCAGGGTCGGGGGTAATCTTATTACGATTGGATTCAGACACGGTGAATTTTTAATGCCCTAATGTTGGCCCGTTTGTGAAGCAGACCAAATCCCGTCAAACTAGCCAAGGACAATGCCGACGTCTTGACGGCCATCCAACCTCACAAGGACTGTCTCTAGAGCGTCATTAAACGCACATCTCGGTTCATGCTTTCTTTCAATTCCTAACATGAATCCCGGATATCCTGCGGGTGGTTCATATCGGTAGTGGCCAACGCATCCGTTGAATCAAGAAAGACATTGGTTCGCCTCATGCCCCATCCTAGGGTGCAACCAATAGCCCTTCAATTTCTACTTGGGCAGCGGATTTGGACCAAGGATATGTTGAGTATCCTACAACTGATCTTCACAACCTCAGGTTGGTCGACGATTTCTTCTCAGCGTATTTTGGAGTTGCGCACTGCCCAGACGCCACATTCCTTTACAGTGGGACGTACAACAAGTTGCGAGCCTTGTATCCGGCGCAATGAAGAATGCTCTGGATTCAGTCACAGTCAGGACGTCGAGTTGGTTTCACAACCTTGCAATCGTGGCAGGACATGCCCGAAAAACTCTATGAGGGATCATCTGCGCATTTGCAAAGCCAAGTGCAGCGAGTGTAAGGAAACTTGTGTTCCGTGCATCTAGAATTGAGCAAATAGCTGCTGTGACCGCTGCGACATACTTGGATATGAGTATGCCAACTTCTCCCACGAGGACCACGTCATACTAAATGACTTTAAGGTCTGCCATCGATGTGAGAATGACATAGTGACATCAGCTCGGGCATCCCTTTTGTAAGAACGAGGTTCGGCCACCACAAGAAACAAGGCTGCGAAAGTAGTACCAGCAAGGGATTTGAATGTACAAGCTCTTCTTACGCCGATGCTCTAGATACCATGGAGAAACCATGTAGGCGTTGTGGCACGTCTCTCTTAGAACGCCGACTCCCATGGCACGAGAGCCGTTGAAAAAGCAAGTGCCATCGTTGCCGAGACCTTGACGTGCCTTGAACTCGCTTGCGAGGAGGAAGGGGGAAGTGCGACAGATGCACTCAAGATCAAGAAGAGCGCGACAGACCATGGTTCAGGGATAAGGACGATCGAGCTTAAATGGGCACCAAGAACTTGTAGCTAGAGACACCAAAGGTTCTGGAAAGGGTGTGTCCATTGTCGCAAATTGATATCATTATTGCACGCTGCGCGTCCTCTCCAAAGACGGCCAGCATCATGGTGCAATTAATTCTGAGCCCATTCGCCCTTTTCATTCTATGTGCCTTTATCTAGAAGAGCCTGCAAACGGTATTGAACTCACTTTTTATTCTTCTTCCCAGCCCACGCTGGCGAGTATTCCATCATGCCGCCTATTCCAGCTCAATGGTGCCAGGAGGCTTTGAAGTTCTAGTACGACTGTATTAGCACACGAAGCTCGAGATTCAAAGGGGCCATCAGTTCCTTACAAATCATAGACAACACGGGACACACCATCTACCTGATTGCAAATGGCACGCGAGACCTCCTAGGTAAGGGATTAGTACGCGAAAGCACAGTATAAAGGCTAGGTGATTTACCTGGAGGAAGGAGTTGTCAAAGTTGAACACCTCAGCGCTCATGAAGTCTTTGGTACGAACAGCGCGGAGGATTACAATGTAACCCCAAACGCGCATATCACCAAAAACACCAACACTACGGCTAGTATCAAGACCAGCAAAGGCTTGGGACATCTAGGAGAGAATGTTTAGCTTGCACTCATCTTGACATGTGCGACGCGCCCTACCTGGTCGTAAAGGCCAGCCTCCTTGATCATGTTGATGAAGATATTGTCAGCCTTGCGGGCGATCTCAACTCGCTCCTTGGTGACGTCGCCAAGAATCCTGATGGCAATTCCCGGTCTGCATTCGATTTAGTTAGCAGACGCTTCAAAGCTGGCAAGGAGAATGAGAAGCTCGAGGGTGATCAACATACCCGGGGAATGGGTGCCTGTTTACCAGCGACTCGTGTATGCCGAGTTGCCGACCAATTGCCTGCAAAGCTTAGTAAAAGTGACGTCAAGATTTACCCCCTTATTAACTTACCCTCACTTCATCTTTCTGTGCAGTATTGTTAGCTCCATGACCAGGCGTATTTAAGACAAGTATAAGACTCACAAATAAAAGTCTGAGCGGCTCGATAAGCTGTGATAGAAGTCATGTTAGATTTCACTACGTGATAAAAGATAGAAGTGTACTTACACGTAAGCCTTGCTAAATAAACCGTCTTAGTCAGTGTGATCAAACTTGGCTAAGCGGTGTTCGACTTACGCCATTCATCATTCGCTACATGCTGGTAAGTAACTGGGAAGTGAATCATAGACGTTGATTTTTCTTACCTCTGGCAAACCGCCAGTATTATGGTGAGCTATCTCTAGTTAGCTGGTGTCCAGTTCTTGCATGACTTCACCGAGCTTTATCGGCTTACTCTTGATTGTCGCTGAGGGTCCTCTCCACGAGAGCGACTCGATACTGAAATGCTATTAGCTTGGACTCGACATTACAAGCTCAACGACTTACACATCAGGGTATAGTGTCCCTTGCAAGAACCACTCGACCTTCCCGGAATTTGGTGTGTTTTCTGCTTCTTTTTCGATCTTGTGGGCCATGTTAGTAAGTCTTCCACACCTTCAGAGAAAGGGGCGTACCCTTATAGCCTCTTTCTCGAACACATCGATGACTTTAGTGTAGTCAGTATCATTGTCGCGAACCCATCCAAGATAACTCGGGGTACGTACATGTCGACCCAATTATCTTTCGCTTCTTTTCGGGATCGGTAACACCCGCAAGACGACTCAAGAACAGCTCGCCGGCATCGACAACGGTGAGATTGATACCGAGGTGGTCCCTGAGATTCTTCTTGACCTCCTCGAACTCGTTGAGACGCATACAGCCGTTGTTGATACCTATCGCGATGAAGCGGTCCCCAATGGCTTCACGCATCAAAGTCGCTCCAACAGTGCTGTCGACACCGCCACTTACGCCACCAATGACGAGAGCTTTGGGACCGACAAGATCCCGGATGCGAGCGATCTCGATCTCAACAAAGTTGCCCATTTTCCAATTTGGTTGAGCTCCGCAGATGTTGACGCTGAAGTTGAACAGGAGATCGGTTCCGCGGGGGGTCTAGATCCGAATGTCAGAGGGAGTTCTAATGTAAGGCCTTGGAGGGACCAACGTGTTCGAGCTCAGGATGAAACTGGACACCTAGTCACCTTGTCAGCATCCTGTCTTACTGAGCTACAAAAGTAGCTTAGGGAAGACAAACCAAAGATAGGCTTCTCCTCGTGGGCGATGCCGGCGAACTCTGAGTTCTTGGTAGCAGCAATGACCACAAAGTCCTGCTAGAGTTAATAGGTTTTCCAAAAATTCGAATGAAATTTCACTCGCCTTGGGTAAGTTAATTAGCTTGTCAAAGTGGGACATGAAGACAGAAATTCCGTCTCCCAACCCAGCGAAAAGCCGGTCGGCATGACTGTTAACTTTGGTGATGGTGACGTCCGCGTGGCCATACTCTATGGAGAAGGGTCAGAAGCAATTTTAGATGGCGTTTCAAACGTCACAAACCTCGTGCCTCTCCGCGAACAACATTACTTGAGTCGATTCGCCAAGCGATCTCCTGGCAACCATAGCTGGGGTCATTCATGTCAGTGTCACAGCGTATATCGATGGGTGTTGGAGCAAGCCGCACCAAATACCACTGTACATCCGTGTTAGTCTAGGTTCAGAGACTGGAGAGGAGGGTAGAAAACACTCACAGAATGGGTACATCGAGTTCAAAAACAGCAGGATCAACATCTACACATATGAGTACATGTAACAGGACGTTTGGGAGACGGAAACCGTACGGGGTGAGCCCTCGTCATACACAGAGGAAGGACCTAGTAGCTCAGTCAGACCTCGGCACAAACCATACATCCAGACATTTCACACCTCCAGAGAAGATAATTCCTTTAGGCTTCCATGGCAGCTCAGCGACCTTGGTGGTACACGGAAGTAGCTCAGCGAAGACGCCGAGAGCCCGAATTCGTCGCAGAATAAGATGGCTAGTTTGTGAGCCAAAGTCGAGTACAAGTATGGTCTGGAAAGACAGGGTCAGCTAGTCCACTCGTCTTACGGCTGTACATCGATTGCGCCTGCACGCTCTGTCTGCAGTGACCAATCGCAAATTGTGTAGAGTGACGACCAGGGAGCCTCGAGGCTCAAATTCTGGGCTTCTGCGGGGTAGTGGCGGTACATACGTCGAAGCTATTATGAGGCGCCTCGGCCTCAAGGGTAGAAGCCATTGTGATCGTGGTTTCGGCGGCGTATCGAGCAGATTGGTGGTATTCGCAAAGTTGGCTTCGCGAAAAAAAAAAATCACTTCTGGTGGTGAGAGCCTTGCTTGACCCAAAAAATAGTGGGGCCTGGCACGATTAGAACGTACGGAGTATCTTCTAGCTTTGGTTGCGCCCCCAGATCCAATGCTAAGATATCACGTGACACATTGCTTGGACTACAGAAGCCCAAAGCCTCCAACTCGGACACGGCTCAGGTAGAAATGGCGTAGGCTAGAAATCTAACCGAGAAAGAAGATTTTGGAATATTCATTCGTCATATTCTTCTTCTAACCAACTATACCGCTGTACACCCGCGCCCTGTCTTCTGTATAGGGGGCGGAACGAATAGTTCCAGCTTATGGCTATACTCCTGTTTTATTTACGCCAATAAGGCTCATGAACTCGTCACGCGTCTTCTTCTCCTCCTTAAAGCAGCCGAGGACGCAGCTCGTGATAGTAGCGGTGCCTGTCTTTTCAACGCCACGCATCTCCATGCACATGTGGGACGACTCTATGACAACCGCGACGCCCCGAGGGCCGATGATTTCCATGATAGCATCAGCGACCTGTTTAGTGAGGCGTTCCTGAATCTGCAGCCGTCGCGAGAACATCTCGGCTATGCGGGGGAGCTTAGAGAGCCCAATGACTTTCCCAGAGGGGATATAACCGATGTGAATCTGAGCGTTTTCATAAGTTTCAGGCTGAGGGAAATATGGATTTCAAAAAGACTTACCTTTCCCGTAAAGGGCAGAACATGGTGCTCGCATAAGCTGGAGAACTTAATGCCCTTGACAATGACCATCTCATGATGCTCCTCGTCAAAGAGTGCATTATTGACAACATCATCCACGTTGATCCGGTAGCCCTTGGTTAAGAATAACAGCGCATTCGCATACCGTGACGGCGTGGCCAACAGGCCCTCACGGTTGGGGTCCTCGCCCAAGCATTCGAGCAGCGTCCTCACGGCGCTACGCATCGTCTCCAGCCGGGCTTCAACTTGCTCGGGCGTTTCATCAACGCGGCCGCGGGCGACTTTTCCGAAACCATTACGGCACTTCTCGGAAGCGTTGACAGGGCGGTCGGTAAGGGGCGCGTGAACAATGGAGGCATCAGCAGTGGGCAAAATCTCATCACGCTCAATATCCGTGCTCCTGCAAGCAGAATCGATGCTGATGTTTGAGGAGTCGGACATACTGGCCATGCTGAGGAGTTGCTTCTTGGATTGATCCATGAGGCACGGAGCAAGGTCTGATATCTGAGAAATAACAGAGGGGACGAGAAAGCATATTATAGGTGAAAACATGAAGAAAAAGAGGCGCGATTACCATCAGTCATCGGGATCAGGCGGTAGATTTTGGTGGCTCGAGCCTGGGGAGATTAAGAAAGCAGAGGCTAAAGATCAATGGAAAACCGAATGGACTGAGTCTTGTTTCATCACGTTTGATCACAAAACATGATTCTGTGCTCTGTAATACTCGCTGGCAACGACATGATTAGCCACTGAGTCACCGGCGGGTAGAGATAGCAGGCCGAAGCTCTACATATCCGTCATCACGCCGCTGTTAGCGAGCTTTTGCCAATGGTCCTTGTTTCATGAATTCCCGCTCGCGTGCAGACGTTGCACTATCTCTGATTGCTATGCCGTGATGCTTTGCATTAGGAGCAGATAGGGGTGGGACAAGATCAATAGCCAACTGTTGACACACATCCCGAGGCGGATGTAACAGCACGTATTTGTAGTACACGGCGGGTATATATATGCGTCACTTTGGGCGTGTGTCACATTGGGAACCCACGTAGTTTGTGTGGCATGGAGAATCCCCAAATAGGATTCCAACAAACCGCTGCAATCCCCGCGCTGAGTCTATAAGTAGGTCCACGATCAACTCAAAAAAGACAACACTACATCGGCATCCATCATTTCATGAGATACATACATACACACAATCCAAAAAAATGGCATTGACCACTCTTGAGTCCCTCAAACAGAGCCTTAGGCATAAGGCAACGACAACGTCATCATCCGCGAAGAGGCCGTTGTCTGACTCACAGTATAGTGCTGGCTTCGAGATCCTCTTAGGGAGTTCCGGATGGCTGACGTACCAAGACTTCATCATTCCTCAACTATCTGCACTGCTAGACCCTCTTGTTAACTCGGGTGTCCGGATCTCGGTGCTGGAAGTCGGACCCGGGCCTAAAAGCGTACTTGGATATTTGCCCAGCTATATGAGACGTAGCATCGGGAGATACTCTGCGTTTGAACCAAATGAACTGTTCGTTTTAAGGTTGAAGGAATGGCTTTACTCTACCTCGGGGACAGGGATCCCACTCCCCTGTCTAGAAAGCCCGCCTGACATCCATCGGATTCCATTTGTTGTGGACAGCAGCGCCAGCTTCGACGGTATGGGTGACGGCGCCGACAAGTTTAACGTCATCCTATTCTGCCATAGCATGTACGGCATGAAACCGAAAAGCAGTTTCATCAAACGGGCGCTGGAATTGCTTGTTGAGCGGCCAGGCAGCGGATTCGTGGTGGTTTTCCATCGCGAAGAGACCTTGCACCTCGACGGCTTGACGTGCCACCAAACGACTTCTTTCCCTACTGGAGTCACTCGCGTGGCGGATGACGACATGGTGCTCGACCGCTTTGCCCCTTTTATCGCAGGATTTGCCATGCAGGATGAGCACGCGGACAAGTCCACCCGAGCCGAGTGGCGCAAGGTGTGCCGCACTTTGGGCCATCGTGAGCAAGGCCGTCAAGACCAGCTCCTATTCAGCTCGCCCGAAATCATGGCGGCCTTTACTCGGCATGCGACAGCGCTCACAGAACTGACGTCGCAGGTGCCATTGGGATCCGGAGATGGAGCGAAAAACCGCCAGGCTCGCCTCCGCCGTCCGGCCTCCATCGTTAGGCCGACCGATATTCGACACGTGCAGCAGTGCGTCTGTTGGGCTTTGGATCACGGCGTCGGCCTGACCGTAATCAGCGGGGGTCATAGCGGCCATTGCCTCTGGCCCAACGTCGTCTCCATCGACATGGGCGCGTTTGACCAAGTACACATTGTCCAAGCCAGGGGCGAGGGAGGATCCGGACCTAACATCGACTCCGGTTTCTTGGTTGTTGCCCAGGCCGGCTGCAAGACCGGGGACATTGTCCGCAAGGCCATGGCAGCGGGCCTGACTGTGCCCATGGGTGCGCGCCCAAGCCTAGGCGCAGGGCTGTGGCTACAGGGCGGTATTGGGCACCTGGCTCGGCTTCATGGACTCGCGTGCGATGCCATCGTTGGTGCCGTCATGGTCAGCGTCGCCAATGGTCGCGTCCTCTGCATCGGCAGGGTGCCTAGCCAACACCGGCCGATCGATGCTGTGTGTCCGGATAACGAAGACGATCTATTATGGGCGATGAAAGGAGCTGGGACCAACTTTGGTGTCGTAATAAGCGTTACTTTCAAGGCTTGCCTGGCTCCAGTCTACTCGATCCGAAATTGGGTTATTCCACTAAGCGACAGGCGCGAAGCGCAACTCAAACTAGGTGATTTCGATAAATTGGTCGCCGCCAAGTCCCCGCGAAATTCTTCTGTAGATGCGTATCTCTATTGGGAAAGGGACATGCTGTGCCTCGGCGTTTCCATGATCGAATCTTCCACAGCTAATAAGCTTGCCTTCGGAGCGCAGACACACACGCCCACGCCCATGAGTAGACTTTTTGGACCCGAAGACAATTACAATACTGTGAATGGCGTCGGTTTGTTTGAGGCGGAAATGTATATGTCTGGCATGCATGGTGGGCATGGCGGCAGCAAGACCTCGTCATTCAAGCGATGCTTGTTCCTCAAACATATCGGGGAAGCCAGCATGATCGAAATCTTGGTGACAGCAATTAAGACTCGTCCCTCGCCGCTCTGCTATCTCCATCTTCTGCAAGGCGGCGGAGCAGTCTGCGACGTAGCAGCTGACACCACTGCTTTCGGTTGTCGCGACTGGGATTTTGCTTGCGTTGTGACTGGCGTCTGGTCCCGCGACCAAGATGGAACCGAAGCTGTTCAAGCTGCCGTACAATGGGTGTACAACGTCGCCGCAGAGTTATTGCCCTTGAGCAGCGGGGTCTACGGTGCCGACCTGGGGCCGGACCCCAGAGATGCCGCTTTGGCAGCCAAAGCTTTCGGTCCAAACCGGCCGCGCCTGATCCGCCTCAAGCAGATCTCGGATCCGCGAAAGGTCCTGGCTTACACTTGTCCACTAGTCAAAGCACCAATGGCGCCGACGCTCATCATTCTCGTTACTGGCGAAAGCTGCGCAGGCAAGGATTATTGCGCCGACACCTGGGTCTCCGTCATCACCAGCTGTGCCTCCACGAAGCTCACAGCACGCGTAATCGCCATCGGCGACACGACCAAGCGAGAATATGCAGAGGCTACTGGGGCCAATCTCCAGCGCCTGCTTCGGGACCGACGCTACAAAGAACAACACCGGGCTGCGTTGACGGCATTCTTCCAGGAACAGCTACGCCATCGACCTCAGCTGCGGGAGGAGCATTTTCTAAATGCGGTGAAAGACGCCATGGATATGGACGTGCTGCTCATCACAGGAATGAGGGACAAGGCACCCGTCGCAGCCTTTTCGCACTTGGTGCCAAGCAGCAGACTGCTCGAGGTCAGAATTCAAGCTAGTAATGAAACGCGACGGGCTCGTGGAAGCTGCCGAATCAGCGGCGACAATGACGACGGCACGGAGTGCTACCCACCCAGTTTGCTCTTCCACAATGATTTGACTGGCAATGAGGCGGCCAAGAAATTTGCCCAAACCCATCTGCTTGCCTTCTTCCACGAGAACCTACAGCGACTGGCCAGCATGGTACGCCCAGTGCCTGGCTTCCCACGTCCAGGTATCGAATTCCGCCACGTGCTTGACATCTCTCAGCAGCCAGGCGGGCTGGGCTTGTGCACGTCCCTGCTGCAAGCTCACTTCACGGGTGACTGGGCCAAAGTTGATTTGGTAGCGTGTTGCGAGGTTGGCGGCTTTGTCTATGCGTCAGCCTCAGCCTTGCGTGTCGGCGCGTCCCTGGCCTTGATTCGCGAAGCTGGCAAACTCCCTCCTCCCACGATTTCCGTCCGCAAATCATCGTCACACATCTCATCCTGCGCCTCTCACGATGCGGGGGAGAAAGGGATAGAGGTGGGCCTAAACATATTCCCAAGAGGCACGTCCGTCGTCGTGGTGGACGATGTGCTTGCCACTGGGAAGACGCTTTGTGCGGTGCTGCAGCTTCTAGACGAAGCCGGAATCAGTGCTGACAAGGTCGACGTCATGGTTGTGGCAGAGTTCCCTATTCACCGCGGCCGGGAACTATTGCGTCGGCGCGGCTTTGGAGGAGCCAGGATCCAGAGCCTGTTGGTCTTTGACGGTGCTTGAGAAGAAGCGACCAGCATGACATGATGGTTCTGTCAGCAGAATCGGGGAAAGGATTAGTCAGCCACCGCGTGAAAGGGCCAGCGCGGGCGGCAGTGGCGTTCCATTAACGCGCGTGTGTTAGGGTTAGGGTCAGCCGGTCAATGATACGTCAATGGATAGAAATAGAGTAGTTTGCATGGTTCAGTTTCACAGTATGAGGATAATAGATGAGTTTAGTCCAGAATCATAATCGTTTTCTTCCGTCAAAAGACAAATTCCCACCTCATGACGAGCTATGCCAGCCGAATAAGACAGGCAATTAGGTAAGAGGATGTGCCTTCATCACAACAAAGACAGCTGCAATATCCAGCGGCAGAAACATGGTCACACATGCACTTTCTAACTATATTGGGTTAAAATGTATTTCAACCCAAAATATTGACGTGCGAGGAGTTATAAATCAAATGTTTCAAGGTAATAACTAACTATACTAGTCGCTATTCTCCCGAACAGATGTTATTTGTAGCAAAAAGTGTAGTTGATTGAGCCAAGTTTTAAAGTAGCTTCACCGGCCCAAAACGAAAGTAACCATCATCACCCTCGCTGGTTAATGGTGCCCGCCAAAGACCAAATTTTCAAAAGTAAAAATGGCCAAGGAACGGCTCCCCCAGCTTCTCGGCCGTCTTGGAATTTAAAAAGAGCCCCGGAGGCAGCGAATAGAGTATGCCACATTGTGCATGTACCGCTGGCTCTCATAGACCGTATAGGAAGAGCCCGCACAGTTTGATCGGCTTTTTCGTATGAGTCAGG